ACTTGAGTAGATACCTCTACTGTAGGAACTCTGGATCATTTGAAGATAATCTGTGCCTTTTTTAGGATGACTAGAACGTGCCAGGTAAGGGAGGGAATCCTCACCTGGCATCTTGGAATTTATTTGGTCTGTGTTTTGGAAGTAAGTAGTACATCCAGGGAATGCCATTTACCAACCCCCATCATTATATTCTTTCTTTTCCCTTCACCATTCTTATGTTCTTTTAGTATTCTTTTTCCTTGTCTTGCCCTTTTGCCTGACAGTACAGGCATTTCCTTGGTAAGATGATCACCTCTGTTTTAGAAGCCTTTTGGAACTCCAGTAGGGTTCCTGAGTCATACTCAACCCCTTCCTCCTCTTGCAGTGTTGTTGCATCCTACTTTTAAACTGTCTGTCATTAATAGATTCCTCTTCCTAGGTCATATTTATTCAGGGTCTCTGTCCTTTTTATATTCTCTCAAATCCAGTCTCCTTGTACTTTTTATATTATATATCCAATCTTTTTCTTTCAGGGGCTTTTTTCTATATTTTCTCCAGTATACTACTTTCTAGTCCAAAAAGCAACCTTCATTAGACAGTATTAAACACAAGTCTCAGCAGAAATAAATGTTTACATGCTTAGATCATATTTTTCTTCCAGTGTCCTGTATCGGCTTCCATTTCTTCTTTATTCTGATTGAAGAGTCTAGCCCAGCTCTTCACTCCCTCTTTTACCCATGGATACTGCAACAATTTGTCTTCTGAAATTGGTGGTTTTTGTTTGAGAAGCAGAATACTGTTGTAGAGCACTTTACTACTGAATTCTGCTTATAGTTCCATTTTGTGATCTTGGGCAGGTCAGCCTCTCTGAACTTCAGTTTCCTAATCTATAAAAGAGGACATTATTTGCCTAAACAATTTCATAGGAGTGTAGTTACAGATTTGATCTCTAACCTTAGAAGGGACACAACCCAATGAGGGGTTCAATGTAATACTGTTTGACCAGTGCTATAAAAGAGACATTAGCCGAGCGTGGTGGTTCACACCTGTAATCCCAGCACTTTGGGAGGCCGAGGCGGGTGGATCACCTGAGGTCAGGAGTTCCAGACCAGCCTGGCCAACGTGGTGAAACCCTGTCTCTACTAAAAATACAAAAATTATCCAGGTGTGGTGGTACGCCCCTGTAATCCCAGCTACTTAGGAGGCTGAGGCAGGAGAATTGCTTGAACCTGAGAGGCGGAGGCTGCAGGGAGCCAAGATGGTGACGCTGCACTCCAGCCTGGGCAACAGAGTGAGGCCCTGCCTAAAAAATAAAAAAGAGAGAGACATTAACAGTGTGCCATGGTGTTGGTTGTCCCTGGACCATCAGCAGCAATATCAGGTGGGAATTGTTAGAAATGCAAATTCTTGGCCCCCTACTCTAGGCATACAGAATCAGAAACTGGCACAGCAGTCTGTGGTGGTCTTTGAAATAGGGTTTCACAGCCGAGCACGGTGGCTCATGCCTGTAATCCCGGCACTTTGGGAGGCCCAGGCAGGCAGATCATGAGGTCAGAAGTTCAAGACCAGCCTGACCAATATGATGAAACTCCGTCTCTACTAAAAATACAAAAATTAGCTGGGCGTTGTGGTACGTGGCTGTAGTCCCAGCTACTCGGGAGCCTGAGGCAAGAGAATCACTTGAACCCGGGAGGCAGAGGTTGCAGTGAGCCGAGATTGTGCCATTGCACTCCAGCCTGGGCAACAGAGCGAGAGTCTGTCTCAAAAAAAAAAACAAAAACAAAAAGCCGGTTGCAGTGGCTCACGCCTGTAATCCCAGCACTTTGGGAGGCTGAGGCAGGTGGATCACCTGAGGTCAGGAGTTCGAGACCAGCCTGGCCAACATGGCGAAACCTTGTGTCTACTAAAAATAACAAAAATTAGCTGGGCCTGATAGCGGGTGCCTGTAATTCCTACTTGGGAGGCTGAGACAGGAGAATTGCTTGAACCCAGGAGGCAGAGGTTGCACTGAGCCAAGATTGCACCATTGCACTCCAGCCTGGGCAACGAGAGCGAAACTCCATCTCAAAAGAAAGAAATAGGGTCTTGCTTGCCCAGGCTGGAGTGCAGTACCACGATCATGACTCACTGCAGTCTCAATCTCCCAGGTTAAAGCAATTCTCCCATTCTCCCACCTCAGCCTCTCAAGTAGCTGGGAGTGCAGGTGTGTGTGCCACCATGTCTGGCTAATTTTTAATTTTTTGTAGAGATGGGGGTCTCACTATGTTGCTCAGGCTAGTGTCAAACTCCTGGGCTCAAGCGATCCTGCCAGCTTGGCCTCCCAAAGTCCTGGGATACAGGTGTGAGCCACCATGGCCAGCCAGCAATCCCTGTTTTAACAAGCTTTCCAGACGACTACTGCATGCTAAAGTTTGATTTCACCTGAACTAGTTTACAGATGTGATAACAATTGATTTGGGCCTTTGAGGAACAAGTAGGATTTCATGAGGAAGAAAAAGAATGATATTTCAAGTAGAGGGAATATCATGAGCAAATAAAAAACAAGTATGTAGGATGCCTGTAGAACTGCATATACTTAAGTGTGACTAGAGCATTGGCATTATCGGGCAGGTGTTTTGTTTTTGCTTTTTGACACAGAGTCTCCATCTTTTGCCCAGTCTGGAGTGCAGTGCCTTGATCTCGACTCACTGCAACCTCCACCTCCCAGGTTCAAGCTATTTTCCTGCCTCTGCCTCCCAAGTAGCTGGGATTACAGATGGGCACCACCATGCCCAGCTAATTTTTGTATTTTTAGTAGAGACGGGGTTTCACCACGTTGGCCGGGCTTGTCTCGAACTCCTGACCTCAAGTGATCAGTAGGGCAGGTTATTAAAGATAAAGATATATATATAGGGTGCAATTGTTCAGGCTTTGAGCTTAGACTAGTAGTTCCAAAATCTGTCTGTACGTTGGAGTCACCTGGGAAACTTAAAAACCTGCTCATGTCCCTTTCCCTCTCCTTTGTGATTTAATTAGACTGAGGTGTGGCCCAGGGTTTGGAATGTTTAAAAGATCCCTGGGCAGTTCTAATGTGCAGATGATTCTGGGAACTTTAGTGGCTTAGGTCATTCTGTACATTAGGAAAGATTTTTTAGCACCAGAGTGGCATGATCTGATTTGTTTTAGGACAATAATTGGTATAGGAAAAGAGTGGAAATAGGGCAACCTACGTATTCACACTTCAGATAAGTTGTTCTTTAGGATTCCTTCACAACCACTTTCTTGTTCTCATGTTCAGGTTTAATGCCTCTTGTGAGTTTTTGTTTTGTTTTTCCTTGAGACAGAGTCTCCGTTGCCTCGGCTGGAGTGCAGTGGCACCATCTCTGCTCACTACAGCTTCCACCCCGAGTTCAACGGATTCTCCTGCCTCAGCCTCCTGAGTACAAGCGCCCATCACTATGCCCAGCTAATTTTTGTATTTTTAGTAGAGGCGGGGTTTCACCATGTTGGACAGGCTGGTCTTGAACTCCTGACCTCAAGTGATCTTTTTGAGATGGAATTTCGCTCTTGTTGCCCAGGCTGGAGTGCAATGGCGCAACCTTGGCTCACCGCAACCTCCGTCCCCAGGGTTCAAGCAATTCTCCTGCCTCAGCCTCCCAAGTAGCTGGGATTACAGGCATATACCACCATGCCCAGCTAATTTTGTATTTTTAGTAGAGACGGGGTTTCTCCATGTTGGTCAGGCTGCTCTCAAACTCCTGACTTCAGGTGATCCGCCCACCTCAGCCTCCCAAAGTACTGGAATTACAGGTGTGAGCCACCGCGCCTGGCGGGATGGAACTTTAAGTAAGAGAATCACCTTAAGAATCACCCCTAGTGATTTTGTTCTTGTTGAAAATGACTCTCCCCAATTGAAGTCTCTTAAATGCCCATTAGTTGAGAATCATTCCTCTAGGGAGACATGTTCTTAAGGGACTGTATCATATCCCTCAGGTGTGTTGTGGTAAAATAGGTATGAGAACATAACTTTGACTATAAACTCTACAAGAGCAAGGACCGTGTAATTAATTGCTTTTTTATTTCCCCACATTTTTTTTTTTTTTTTTTTGAGACAGAGTCTCACTCTGTTGCCCAGACTGGAGTACAGTGGCGCAATCTTGGCTCATTGCAACTTCTGCCTCCTGGGTTCAAGCATTTCTCCTGCCTCAGCCTCCTGAGTAGCTGAGAGGGACTATAGGCGCACGCCATCATGTACAGCTAATTTTTGTATTTTTAGTAGAGACAGGGTTTCACCATATTGGTCAGGCTGGTTTCGAACTCCTGACCTCAAGTGATCGACCCGCCTTGGCCTCCCAAAGTGCTAGGATTACAGGCATGAGCCACTGTGCCCAGCCTTTTTTTTTTTTTTTTTGAGTCAAGGTCTCACTCTGTTGCCCAGGCTAGAATGCAGTGGTAGGATCTCAGCTCACTGCAGCCTCGAACTCCCAGGTTCAATTGATCCTCCCACCTTAACCTCCTGAGTAGAGGGGACTACAGGCGTCTACCAACATGCCTGGCTAATGTTTGTATTATTTGCAGAGACGGGGTTTTGCCTTGTTGCCCATGCTGAAATTTTTTTTTTTCTTTTTTGAGACAGGGTCTTACTCTGTCACCCAGGCTGGAGTACAGTGGTGCAAACATGGCACACTGCAGCTTCCGTCTCCCCTGGGCTCAAGTGATGCCCCCACCTCAGCCTCCTAAGCTGCTAGCACTACAGACACATGCCATGTTGCCTAGGCTGGTCTCAAAACTCCTGGGCTCAAACAATCTGCTCACCTTGCCCTCCCAAAGTGGTGGGATTACAGGCATGAGCCACTGTACCTGGCCCACAGATTCTTATTGAGGCTTCTGTAAGTAGGCAGTTAATGCTCTATTGTCACCATTTCCCACTGTAATTTTTATAAATACCAGTTGTTTGGCCAATCGACTTCTGACTATTTGCTAAACTGGGAAAGAGTAATGATGATCCCAAATGTCTAACCTCATTGCTTGCCTTTATACAGAATCCTCACTATGGATGGGCTCATTGAGGACATTAAACGTCGGCGGTATTATGAGAAGCCATGCCGCCGGCGACAGAGGGAAAGCTATGAAAGGTGCCAGCGGATCTACAACATGGAAATGGCTCGCAAGATCAACTTCTTGATGCGAAAGAATCGGGCAGATCCGTGGCAGGGCTGCTGAGGCCTGTGGATGGGACACCCAGTGCGAAACCCTCATCCAGTTTTGTCTCCATCTCTTTTCTTTGTACAATCCCATTTCCTAAACTCAAATCACATGTCTGCAAAAAGGCCTCCAAATATAGAAACAATTCCATTAGTCAGCAGTGGACCCTGTCTTTTATTAAGTGAAAGAAAAAACTGAGTCTGAAAGTAGTCTAGGAGTAGAATGGTGTTTGCTGGAGCTGGAGGAGGGGGCAATGAGGAATTATTGTTTAATGGGCACAGAGTTTCAGTTTGAGCAGATGAAAAACTTCAGGAGATGATGGCCAGGCACGGTGGCTCATACCTGTTATCCCGACACTTTGGGAGGCTGAGGCGGCTGGATCACTTGAGGCCAGGAGTTTGAGACCAGCCTGGCCAATGTGGTGAAACCCCATCTCTACTAAAAATACAAAAAAAAAATTGGCTGGGTGTGGTGGTACATGCCTGTAGTCCGGGACACTTGGGAGGCTGAGGCAGGAGAATTGCTTGAACTGGGGAGGCGGAGGTTGCAGTGAGCCAAGATCATGCCACTGCACTTCAACCTGGGTGACAGAGTGAGACTCCATCTCAAAAAAAAAAAAAAAAAAAACGGAAAGGGATGATGGATGGTGATGGTGGTTGCTCAAAAGGATGAATGTACTCAATGCCACTGAACTATACCCTTAAATGTTTTAAGATGGTAAATTTTTTTTTTTTTTTTTTTTTTTTTTTTTTTTGAGACGGAGTCTTGCTCTGTCACCCAGGCTGGAGTGTAGTGGCCGGATCTCAGCTCACTGCAAGGTCCTCCTCTCGGGTTCACGCCATTCTCCTGCCTCAGCCTCCCGAGTAGCTGGGACTACAGGCACCCGCCACTTCACCCGGCTAGTTTTTTGTATTTTTTTAGTAGAGATGGGGTTTCACCGTATTAGCCAGGATGGTCTCGATCTCCTGACCTCATGATCCGCCCGTCTCGGCCTCCCAAAGTGCTGGGATTACAGGCTTGAGCCACCGCGCCCGGCCTTTTTTTTTTTTTTTGAGACGGAGTCTGGCTCTGTCCCCCTGGCTGGAGGGCAGTGGCGCGATCTCGGCTCACTGCAAGCTCCGCCTCCCAGGTTCCCGCCATTCTCCTGCCTCAGCCTCCCCAGTAGCTGGGACTGCAGGCACCCGTAACCGCGCCCGGCTAATTTTTTGCATTTTTAGTAGAGACGGGGTTTCACCGTGGTCTCGATCTCCTGACCTTGTGATCCGCCCGCCTCGGCCTCCCAAAGTGCTGGGATTACAGGCGTGAGCCACCGCACCCGGCCTAAGATGGTAAACTTTATGTTGTACTACAATAAAAACTTTTTTGGAAGTCTAGGAGAAGTAAGGAATTGTTTTTTCTTTTTTTTCTTTTTGTTTTTTTAAGAGGAAGTCTCACTCTTGTCCCCCAGGCTGGAGTGCAGTGGTGCAGTCTCGGCTCACTGCAACCTCCGCCTCCTGGGTTCAAGTGATTCTCCTGCCTCAGCCTCCCGAGTTGCTGGGACTACAGGCACGTGCCACCACACCCGGCTAATTTTTGTATTTTTAGTAGAGACGGAGTTTCACCATGTTGTCCAGGCTTGTCTCGAACTCCTGACCTCAAGTGATCCGCCCACCTCGGCCTCCCAAAGTGTTGGGATTACAGGCATGAGCCACCGCACCTGGCCGGAAATTTTTTTTAGTATATTGAAATATGTCTACCATTTCCTACCCAATTTTTTTGAATCCCCAAGCAAAATCTTACTGAGAAAGCATCTATTACTTTTTATTAAACTGTTCCCTGTTAGATAGAGAGGAGAGGATGCATGTATGTATTTGGAATAAATTCTGCTTCTGAAAACACCTATCAACCAGACTGGAGTGCTGGAATCCTTGCCCAAAGAAGTTCTTAAATCTACCCTAATGTTCATTCCTGTTTTCTGTCCTTTTAGTTTTCTTAACGGAGACTTAAGAGAGGGATGATGGGCTGGGCACAGTGGCTCACGCCTGTAATCTCAGCACTTCGGGAGGCCGAGGTGGGTGGACCACGAGGTCAGGAGATCGAGACCACCCTGGCCAACATGGTGAAACCCCGTCTCCAAGAAAAATACAAAAATTAGCTGCGTGTGGTGGCGCATGCCTGTAGTCCCAGCTACTTGGCAAGCTGAGGCAGGAGAATCGCTTGAACCGGGGAGGCGGAGGTTGCAGTGAGCCGAGATTACACCATTGAACTCCAATGTGGGCGACAGAGTGAGATTCCATCTCTAAAAAAAAAAAAAGGATGATGGAGAAGAAATAAAGCAATAGATGGGTGGGACTCAGTAGACTGTAGGAAAGAGGGAATGGAGTGTTGAGAGAGAATGGCACAGAGCCAGAAATACCCAACAAGCAGTGCTTTTCAGTGTCAGATCAGCAGCATCAGTTTCACCAGAGGGATTGCTTGAAATGCAGATTATGGGACTCGACTCTAGAGCTTCGATATTGGAAATTGAGGTTGGAGCCCAGCAATCTATTTTCACAAGCCTTGCAGGTGATTGTGATGCCTGCTAGAGTTAGAACCACTGCCCTTTGCAGTACTCAAAGAGACTTCATGTGGAGGTTCACACCATCACTGCCTCTACCCAGCAGGCACTCCTGATTATGTTACTCTTGACAGCTGGGGAAACTGACCACTGTGGGAAGACAGCTACTCTGCTTTTTCTCCTGATGTTTTCTCCACCATTGGTTGACTGACAGCTATGCTGTTATTATAAGAGTTAGTGCCAGGCTGGGTACATGGCTGACACCTGTAATCCCAGCACTTTGGGAGGCCGAGGTGGGGGATCATGAGGTCAGAGGTTTTGAGACTAGCCTAGCCAATATAGTGAAACCCCGTCTCTACTAAAAATACAAAAAAATTAGCTGGGCATGGTGGCAGGCACCTGTAATCCCAGCTACCTGGAAGCTGAGGCAGGAGAATCGCTTGAACCCAGGAGGCAAAGGTTGCAGTGAGCCAAGATCGCGCCACTGCACTCCAGCCTGGGCGACAGAGCAAGACTCAGTCTCAAAAAAGTTGGTGTTGGCCGGGCGCGGTGGCTCACGCCTGTAATCCCAGGACTTTGGGAGACTGAGGCGGGCGGATCACGAGGTCAGGAGATCGAGACCATCCTGGCTAACAGGTTGAAACCCCGTCTCAACTAAAAATACAAAAAGAAATTAGCTGGGTGTAGTGACTGGCACCTGTAGTCCCAGCTACTCGGGAGTCCGCCTCCTGGGTTCACACCACTTTCCTGCCTCAGGCGTGATCTGCCCACTTCGGCCTCCCAAAGTACTGGGATTACAGGCGTGAGCCACCACCAACGGCCAATTCTGTCTTTTAAATATATTTTCTTCCTTTCACAATTGCCATACTCACTAATGAAGCAGGGACTTCAAAAAAAATATGCGGGAACTTCTGTGGTCCCTACCTCTTAGGGCTTGATCGCTTTTACTCCATTAGCAATAAGGCCAAGTGAATAGAGCATATTATTGGACCCTCCATAAAAATTGCTCCAAAATAGAACACCTTGGGCCAAGCGCGGTGGCTCACACCTGTAATTCCAGCACTTTGGGAGGCAGAGGTGGGTGGATTCCGAAGTCAGGAGATCGAGACCATCCTGGCTAATATGTTGAAACCCCGTCTCTACTAAAAATACAAAAAAAAAAATTGGCCGGATGTGGTGGTGGGCACCTGTAGTCCCAGCTACTCCGGAGGCTGAGGCAGGAGAATGGCGTGAACCCTGGAGGCAGAGCTTGCAGTGAGCGGAGATCGCGCCACTGCACTCCAGCCTGGGCGACAGAGCGAGACTCCGTCTCAGAAAAGAAATAAATTAATTAAATAAAATAAATCTGAATTTGGTCTTTAGCACATTTTAATGATATTGAGCCATAACATAGTGTCATCTACCACAGTGGTAAGGCATGTTTGTGATAACAGAACCGGGCCTGTTACTTGGCATTATTCCCCTGGGGCTAAAGTTACTTCTGAGCTCCCTCCAAAATACTAAGAGGTGGCTGAGATTTGAAATTTTCTTAGTCTCTAAAAATTATCCCCCACTTGCTTTAATCTTCAGTCCTATTGCCCATGCTCCCCCAGAGCAGTGAACAATGATGGGTTTTAGCAGCTAGTCGGTTGAGAGGCCTCATAAATGCGATAGGTGGCTGGATAAAGTTCCGATCTGCTTATGCTGTGATGATAGGGAAAAAAACTTTCCACTCCTTGCTCTGGGAAGCTAGAAGATAACTTGCATGGTAGTTTAATGAGTAGGGGTTGCACTAATCCTTTAATCCCTGCATTGGTTTCAGAGGAGGAGTGGTTTGGTGTTTACCCAGTTACAGGATGACAGGTAAGTACCTCCTACCCTGAACTTGGGCACTTGTGAAATCTCTTACCTGTATAGTGAAGTGCCTCTGACAGGCCTGCTCCCATCATAGTTTAAGGATCTCGTAATCTAGTGCTCTGGAATCAGGTACCCCTTTAAAATTGGGACTCTGTTGAGTAATTTTGACATTGTACTTTCAAGTTTTCAGAATTGCACCCAGTACAAAATAAGAGTTTGTATGTTAAGTGAGAATGCTAAGGAATAATCACTCACTGTATACTAACGAGGTTAAGGAATAGTGTTTATATAGGTAACCGAAGGGAAAAGAAAATGTTGGAACTTCCACTATGTGTCAGCTACCTTACATATACAATTTTTACTTAGTCAAAAAAATCTGGATTCCATCATGATCTTGGTACCTTATTTAACATAAACCCTTGTTTCCCCTGTGAAATAAGGATAATGGGGCTGGGCGTGGTAGCTCACGCCTGTAATCCCAGCACTCTGAGAGGCCGAGGCAAGCGGATCACAAGGTCATGAGATCGAGACCATCCTGGCTAACACAGTGAAACCCTGTTGCTACTAAAAATACAAAAAATTAGCTGAGCGTGGTGGCAGACACCTGTAGTCCCAGCTACTCAGGAGTCTGAGACAGGAGAACGGCTTGAACCCAGGAGGTGGAGGTTGCATTGAGCCGAGATCATGCCACTGCACTCCAGCCTGGGTGACAGAGCGAGACTCCGTCTGAAAAAAAAAAATATAATAATAATAAGGATAATGGTATCTATAGTTTTTGTTTTGTT